CCCTAGAAATTTCAACCGTCTTTTCTTGATGTTAAGTATAAGCTTCTTTTTGTTTCCATTTTCTCTAAAACTTCGTCGTTGCTCACATGTTTGGTCCATAATTTTTCCATAGACCTCCTGTAAAAACACAGTTCTGCGGCCTCAAGTCTACACTTCCAGTGTGATGAGATTATGCAGCTTTCACTGCCATATAGAATGACCAATATTAAATAACAATTCAGTACTTTTTCCTTTGTTTCTAACGACTTTAATTTAATTTTTTTTTTTTCATCTTTGGCTATTAAAATACGCCTTCAATTCCAGTGACGCACTTTCCGTCTTTTGTTAAAAAACATCCCATATATTTAAATTTTTGTACTTGTTTAATTTTGGTTTTCTCCAATTTGTAAATGGCTCCATGAATGAAAAACAAATCCTCATAGAAAACATTAAATTCTTGTCTGGTGGAGGCCACAGCGAATTTATTATCGTTATCATTCACCCATGAAACCGCTTTATTTGATAAATATTTTGTTACCATCGACTGGAATACTGTCTTTAAAATGTCATTAAATAACAACATTATCTGCTTGGCCTGGATAGAAGAGACATTCTAACCCCAAATTCATTATCACTACTTACACATTTCTCAATAATTTTCTGCCTTGGTGATATGACCGACTCTCATCTTGCTAGCAGACGTTAATTAGATTAACGCGGGCTTCTGGGCGTAAATGATGCAGCCAAATAAGTGAGGCAGACGACAGAAATTATTAGCAAAAACAAAAAGATTAGGAAAGCGATTATCTTTTATTTTGTTTTTCCTTACACTTTTTAGAAAAGAACGTATTCCTTTAGATACAAATATTGCAGTATTTTCTACAGCTCCCAATAAAATCATTAGTTCCGACTTGGCCAAATTTGCTCCGATTTTAAATTAAGATTAATGTTTTCAAGCTAGAAATAAACATTATAAAATATAAATAAGTTACTTAAACTGTCCTTAGGTTAATATTAAATCGTTAAAATACTTAACTTTGTAAAGACTTCTTAATCACTAAAAATATAACAGGTTTTATTCATTTTTGAACTAAAAAAATAAGATATTTACATTAAAATAAATCAAACTTGATAATGTTTTAAAATGTCCGCCATTTTTTCTTTTTCTGAATTATCCAAGTATTTTAGTAGGAAAGTCCATTGGTGTGGCTGAGCACTTTATACGACCAGATAAGACAGAAGAACAGTTAATTACGCCCATATATATGGTTTCCGCTTTGCCCTGTCTACCGCTGACGTGTTAACGACCATACCTGAATTTGTACATCAAGCTATTGATAATAATGGCCAAACTCGAGCAGTTGCTCTAGATATCTCTCAGACGTTTGATAGGGTTAGGCATGCCGGTCTTCTTTGTAAGCTTCAGGGAAACGTTATTACAGGGCGATTATTTGATTTAATACAATGATTCCTCCTGTCAAACCGTGAAATGAAGGTTGTCCTAAACGGGGTCTCCCCCAGTTCCTATCATACGAACGTAGACGACACTACAATTTACTCCTGTTTCAACAGTAAATCTGGCATCTCTGAAAAAGATAACCTGGCCGCCGTTCTCGAAAAAGACCTGCAATCTGTGAGTGACTGGTGTAGGAAATGGCTTGTCAACTTTAATGTCTCCAAAACGAAAAAAACCTCTCATTTACCCATCATAGAGTACACTCTCCGCCTCCCATCAGAATGGTTGATACCCAATTCCACGAGAGCGTCTCTCTGTGTCTTCTTGGTCTCACGATTTCCACTGGCCTGAGGTGGAACAACTACATTGAATCAATAGTTTCATCTACTGCAAGGAAATTTGGTTCTCCGTGTCGCGCAAGTTTTTTTCTCTCGTCTGAGTACTTCCTTCAAATCTACAAATCTACCATTCGTCCTCGCGTTGAATACTGTTGCCATATATGTTCACGTGCCCTCGCTGTTCATGTAAGGTCCTTAACAAAATCCAAAGACGGATATGCAATGTGATAGGTCCTGATCTGGCATCTCGTCTACAGTCACTTTCTTACAGACGTGATGTGGTTTCCCTCTTTCTTTTCTACAAATATTTTCATGGCAACTGTCACTGACGAGCTACTTTCACTGCATGGATTTAAGCGTGTTACTAAGTTGGCATCTCAGGCCCACACTTTCGATGTCGAAACGGTTAAATGTAACCGCCTTTTCTACTCCAACAGCTTCCTCTCTCTCACTTTTAGACAGTGGAACTCCCTTTCTTCTACTTGCTATAATCTACAAATATTCAAATGTAATGTCAATCGACATCTTCTGATGCCTGTATCGAGAAATCACATTCAAAATCGATTGAAATGGGCCGTGAAGATTGACTTCTCTAAAGTTTTGTTCACAGACAAAACTCGAGCAACACTTGATGGGCTAGGTAGATGGTGCAAAGGCTGGGTAATGGACGGACAGAATCACCATCAGCGTTTGAGACGTCAACAAGGCGGTGGAGGCATAATGATCTGGGGTGGTATTATTAAAAAACAATAGTGGGCCCATGGAGAGTACCAGATAGTGTCAAAATGATTACTGATGCGTACATAGCGTTTATGAAGGAGCATCTTGAACCGTGGATGAAAAGGCAAAGAGTTTCCTTCAGAAGGGCCATTGTTTTTTATGCAAGATAACTCTCCCTCACACGCTGATCACAAGACTACTGAATATTTGAAACAGTTAGGCTTCGATGGACCTCGAAAAATGAAGTGGCCAGCAAATTCTCCGGATTTGAACCCAATCGAAAACCTTTGGAGCATCATGAAGCGAAGACTGTACACCAACGGATGACAATTTAGGAGCAACGCTGAGTTGTGGGAAGCAATTCTTGACATATCTCGCGTCATTACAGCAGATGACATCCTACAATTAATAAATTCTATGGATCGTCGAGTAATTTCAAAACAGGGAAAGCACATTCCCTATTAATTTGTTTAAAACTGTGCCTTTGTTTGTATTTGTTATTATTTGTTTGATTATCTTATTTATTAGTTTCTTTTGATCATAAACATTCACGTGCAACATTAATAAACGTTTCGTTTGCTCAATTCTGGGAATTATACTAAACTTTTCTAATAATTTGGCACGCTCAAATCACTGTGCTGATAACAAATATGGCTCCAGTTTGTTGCGCAGATCAGTTTGAAAATTTCAGTGATTGCGCAGGTCAGTGTTGCCAACACCGTGTGAAAATTTTGTGTGAATACGGTTTTGAAATATTAGAAAAAGTTATATCGATAATAATTTCGCACGCAGTGTATATATATATATATATATATATATATATATATATATATATATATATATATATATGTGTGTGTGTGTGTGTGTGTGTGTGTGTGTGTGTGTGTGTGTGTTTTTAATACCACAGAACTTGAAAATAGTCTGAAACGTACGAAACCGGATATTTGTCCCTAAAAGTTAACATTTTTTCGGCTAGCACCTCATGAGAAGAATGGTTCCTGATTAGTAACATATTAACGAGAATCTCGAATTGATAGAGAAACTGGGAAGAAAAGATAAACTGCGACTAAAATACAACTTAATATTACAAAGGGGGGGAGCGGAGGGATTGGCACCCTCACCCCCACAAAAACAAAACAAAAAAAAACAGAATAAATAGTTCCAGTGACTATAAAACGGAAAATCTAGACTACCAATAAAGAAAGTGAACGAATAAACTTCTGTCTGCATAAAGACGGTCGATGTAATATAATATATACCGCCTCTTAAGTGTGCAGATGTTTTGCCGACCGTGCTTTTTCCAAAAATGGAAAACTTCGAATGCGTGTATTTGTACGGACAATCTAGATTGTCTAACATTGGCCTATCGTGGAATTCTGTGCCATCCGCGTCAGACTTGTATTGCAGGTAATAATACCCTATCTATCATTGCAAGGCACATGTTGTGGTATAGGCACCTCAGGCACTTGCGCAATAAGCGTTCACGCGTTTTTATATGATAAGATGGGGAACAAATAGGACACGTTTAGAATTGTAACATGTTTTGCTTTGAGTAAAGCTTCATCAGGGAAGTAAATATGGAGGAGGAAAAAAGAGACGGAAACATTTCTTCTATTTTTAATTTTTGTTTTTGATTGTTTTTCATTGACTGACAAAACTTCATGGAGATCTGTCTTGTCAAGCAGCGTTCGTGGTTATAATTCATATGTGTATGTATATCATAATTCTAGTTGGTCTATGCATGATTAGAGTGAGAATGTATATTCGTTTGAGAAGCTGTTAGACATTTTGACGGTCGTCTTCGAGTATAGAATCCAGAGGTTAGCAGTAAATATTTCGGAGACAGTAGGAAAGCGTAGTTCAGGTTAGCAGTGGATATCGCAGCAAAGTAGCAGAGCGTAGTACTTCCTTCTGTCATCTTCGCCGGACAAGTTGGCACTGGTTATTCGGGTAGGGTAAACAAAAATGGCCGCCTTTATACACGACGTATACAATGTTCTGCGGCTTCTGATTGGTTAACCTTCTATTGGTAGACTATAAAGGGAGTTAAGTCATTTTGACTAACTTACTAGTTACGTATATATATATATACACAAAAAACTGTAACAGAAGCCCCAGAGCGCACTCTGGCCAAAGACAGAGACGCAACAGAAACGATAAGCCATGCGTTAAAATCCCTAGAGGGAGGAATTTTTACGCTTAGATACTGCGTTACTTATATGTCGATTCATAGTTGTGCATATTTACCTGTCAATTCATTTGCATCGGTCTGGGTATTTTTTACACTGGTGAAAATAAATTTAAGACCGTTGGTTAAAGTTTTATTCATTTCAGAATAAGTTTCCAATAAAACAATATAAATTAGTTTTGTTGTGTACGATTTATACAGAATATATTTTCTCTTTTGAATGATGTAAAAATTGTATATTTTTCTATAACTTGAAAAATTTTAATGCTGAATAATTTTAAATTATCCAAATTTGCCGGCTAAATACGTTTAACACCGCATGGGTATCATTATATTTAAAACAAAAAGTTGTAGTAAAAATGAGCAAAGAAAAAAAAAACATAATACTTATCAATATTTAGGGCTGTAACCTTTATTATTAATTACAGCTTCACATCGCCTAGTCATCGAGCTTGATGCGTGAGCAAATAATCATTTGGAATGTTCTGCCATATTTGCTTAATATAATCATATAATTGGGCAACATTTGTCGGTTTTTTAGCGTGAAATCTTTTAGAAATATAATTCCATAAATTTTTAATGGGATTAAGATCAGGACTCTGTGGAGGCCACTCATTGACATCCATATTATGGTGAGAAAAACTTGCAAAACGTTTTTGGCTTTGTGAATGGGGCTATTATCTTGTTGATAAATAGATCCAGTTGACATTTGGTCAGTCAAATATGGCAGAACTTATTTCCACCAGATTATATAATTTCGTCCATTCATAATTAATCTAGCGGCCTCCGTAATTGTGTCTATTCTATTTATCTATACCAGTATATGAATTATCTAACTCTCCATCCCTGATTGTTCATATCTATCTATCTATCTATCTATCTATCTATCTATCTATCTATCTATCTATCTATCTATCTATCTCAGTCTCTTCCTTATCTATCTATCTATCTATCTATCTATCTCCATCCTCATGCAAACTAAATGTAACAACCGCTTTAGTTTCCTTTCTTTCACCATACGGTCAGTTTTAGACCCACTGGAGTGACAGGGTGTAATTGATTTCTATTTTTTGCTCAGATTAGGTAAGTTACAGTGGTGTGCATTAATATGAAGCTATTTTCAAGGTGTGTGATATAATTTGTTTGACCATAAAAATATTGCGTCATCCGGTATTGCATCAGATTTTTACCACACTTAGACACTATTGTCCCAACTGTCGATTAGTTGTCCTACGGACATTTCCTGCGATGAGCGCTACTCAAAGGAAGCGTTCTAAATTTGTAACGCTGCACAAACACACTGGCAATCCTTACAAGTGAGCAAATCAAAGTATTATAGACTGGCCCGGAATCTCTCCTGATTTAAGTTCTATCGAGAAGCTGTGGGTGGTCAGTTTGCAAGGAACGACTTGGTAGAATGGGCATAGGAATTACTAACATGTGCACTTAGTCATGTTTCATTGGAAAAAAAGATCAAAATAATAATTCCATTATTTGTTTTGTTTCAATTAATGTGAACAAGGAGGAATCTGTTGAAGAAGTCCGGTGAGAAAATATCTCTTTGTCTTACACACTTTTCTGTTTTTGTATATTTTCTATTTGTATATAGCCTGTTTCTCTTCAAGTAGTTTTTGGATTTTTTTCCCACAATATATCAAGTTTACCTAGAAATTCCCACTGAAACAAGAGGACAGTAGAAAATCATACAGCAGCATCGGTAAGAATACTCCATATAAAGAGAAAAGAAGTAGCTATCGACAACAATATTCACTCTAACTTATGCGTAATTTAATGAACTCAAAAAAATGAATAGTATAATTGTAATTAACAAAATAAAAATGGAGACCTGATGAGATAGAATGGTACAGACGAAATATCATCGATTCCACGATACAAAGAAGATAGTAAAGGATGTTTAGGAAAAAAACAAATCGAACATAATTAGCTCTTGGAAGATTATATATGATAAGACCTTACCGACGAAACCCTTTCCTAAATGAAGCATTCTAATATTTGGTGTACTGTGTGTGTTTGCATAGGTGGCTGTGTTTTTAGTGCAGGTAAAAATTATACATATTCTTAATATCTTATATATGTTAGTGGGCAAATTAAACATTAAAATATAAAATCCTAAACATAATCGACGGTAAACGTGAACTGAGATTTTGTGAAGACGTATAAAATGTCTTGTAAATTATTAAACGGCAAATCTTATTTTTCTCGCAGTTCCTTTAATAGACATAGCAATCCATCAGTTGAGAGTTTAAAATTTTATCATTTAACTCAAAAACTGAAAAATATTCAGCGAATGACAGTCACTTGATGTTTATGAGAAAGAAGTTTTTCTTTTCTCTAAACTTAGACGTTGATTCGCGAAAATATATTTTGTTTTGTATCATGTCATTGATGAACAGAGAATACATAACTATCAAACAAAACACAATAACACGCAGAGGTATCTATCTATCTATCTATCTCATCCTATTTTTATCTATCTATCTATCTATCTATCTATCTATCTATCTCATTCTGTTTCTATCTATCTATCTATCTATCTATCTATCTATCTATCTATCTATCTATGTGTTTCCCTCTGTCCGCCTATCTATCTATCTATCTATCTATCTATCTATCTATCTATCTATCTATCTCCATCTCTGCAATATATATATATATATATATATATATATGTCAGTCTTCAGTCTATTCATATAATCTATCTATCTATCTATCTATCTATCTATCTATCTATCTATCTATCATGTTTTCCGTCTGTACGCCTATCATCTATCTAACTATTATAGATAGATAGATAGATAGATAGATAGATAGATAGATAGATATTTCTGTGTGCTATTGTGCTTGCTTTGATATTCCATTCTCTACATATATCTGTATATCTCAAACTATATATATATATATCTATCTCAGTCTGCTCATATTATCCATCTATCTACCTATCTATCTACTTATGTATTTATCTACTTATGTATCAAACTCTCTCACTCTATCTATTTCAGTCTCTATATTTATATACGTATATATCAAACTCTCTTTATCTATCTACGGATCCATCAATCTATCCATTTCTCTCTCTCTCTCTCTTTCTCTCTCTCTCTCTTTCTCTCTCTCTCTCTCTCTCTATATATATATATATATATATATATATGTATATATATATCAGTCTGATCATATCTATTTCTCTGACTATCTGTCTATCTCAATTTATACATCTATCTACCTATATACCTCACCATATCTATCTATCACATTATGTTCATAGCAATCATTTAACACAAATATTACTCTGAAAGAATAAGATAACATCTGAATATATATTGAAATGGATTAACTGCTCTAGCAGCCGAGTTTGATTGGTAATGTGCAGCCGTCTGTTTCTTTTCTTGTTTCACAAAATAACTGTTTGAAATACTCGAGTGTTTAAATCTCAGCAACCCTCTGAAATACTTATTTCATCTGTTCACTATTTAGCTATTTGCAGTAGTACTGATCACTACATGATTACTGAAAAGGATTCTCATTTTCTTCATTTTTTTCATTTTCTGAACAAGAAAACTATTCCGTAAAAAAAAAGACAAAATATTGATGGTGGTTTTTGTTTTTATTGAATTTAGGTTTTTATTTGTATGTTCAACCTATACAGCAAAGCAATTGTGTAAGAATTAGAAACCCTACGAAGATTAAGCATCGGTGGCCACAATCTTAACAACATAAGATATGCAGATGGATCGGTGTTAATAGCAGACACAGGAAGGAAACTGCAGAAAATTCTACAAATTTAGTGAAGGAAAGCGAGATGAAGGGACTAATCATCAATTTCAGGGAGACAAAATGTATGATTGTCAATAAAAAGATGAAAAGCGCGACACCGAATCCGAAGGCGCATTGGAATCGTGAAAATGCCTTCCAAAAGTTAAGCAAAGTATTAGGAAACAGGAAAATTTTATTCGGAATAATAATAGTTCTATTAGTGTTGTGGTACGATCCACCTAATTTACATAGTGGAGTACCGACCATATAAATATGGGTTGGTACCAGGAAGACGAAGGAAGAAGTAAGAAGTGATCCATTCCAGAGACTCTGCCCGACTGCGATTAAGTCAACCCATTCTACAGGAACAGTCTTCCCAAGAATATACCAAAACTAACTGTAAATATTGTGTACCTTTTCCTGGTTTCAATACATTTTGTTTACGTACATTTTGTGTTGTATTATTATTATTCCATGCTTATCCAAGCTTCAACAATTAGTGAATCTTGAAAAATTTTCCTCGCATATATCAAATTAACTTGAAGCAACAGAAATGTGGTTCTACAGAAGGATACTGAGAATACTACCAAGGACCGAACATGTGAGCAACGATGAAGTTTTAGACAAGATGGAAAGAATAAGAGCATTATAAATAATCTCAAAAAGAGCCATTTGAAATTTCTAGGGTGCATAATAAGGAATTGAATTTATGTTCTTATTTGTTTGTTAAACAAACTCGTTTAGACTGAGCCTTGAAAGAGATTTCAAAAGAACGTTCGCAGAGTGTGTCTTTTTCTCTCAAGGGAACGAGTTCAGCGAATATACAAAAATAGAAAAGGGTGTAAGGCGAGGTTGCGTCTGCTCACCCGACCTTTTCAACCTATACAGCAAGGCAATCTGAGAGAAGTGGAACCCTACCGAGATTTAGCATCGGCGGCCGCAATCTTAACAACGTAAGACACGCAGATGACACGGTACTGATAGCAGACACGGAAAAGAAATTACAAATTCTCCTACAGAAAGTAGCGAGGGAGAGCGATATAAAGGGACTAAACATTTTGTCTTCTACAAGAAGACAGAATGCATGGTCATCAGTAAAAAGATAAGCCCAAAATGCGATTTGCAGGTCGGAGGAACACTAGAATCAAGCAGACACGGAAGTTTAAATACCCGGAAAGCGTTTTGACAGAGGACAGTAAGTGAGACACTGTGATCCGTAGACGTAGTGGCATGGCCAAAGACGCATTCCCAAAGCTGGGCAGAGTATTGCGAGACAGGAGAATTTCTTTGGTAAGCAAAAAAAAACAAAAAAGAAAAAGAAAATACTGAGCTGTTATGTTTCATCAGTCCTTCTTTACGACAGCGAATGTTGGACGATTTCCTCAATGATGAAAAGACTCGAGACGACGGAGATGGGTTACTACAGAAGGATGCTGAGGATATCATAGGCCATGCGTGTGAGTAACGATGAGCTCTTAGGTTGCAAGCAAGGAGAAGGCTTATACTTAACATCAGGAAGATCAGCTGACGTTTCTGGCACACATAATGAAGAAGGAACGCCTGGAGAATCTGATACTCGCGAGTCGAATAGAGGGAAAGAGAGACAAGGGAAAACAATGCGTGACATAACTAGCGGACTTAAGCAAGTGGATGACAGAAATTGGTCTGGGGAAGGAAGCTGAGGGAAGGAAATTGTTGAGAGATGCAAGGGATAGAAGGAGGTGGAGAGCCATGATCGCCTACTTCCTGAAAGGACATGGCACATAAAAAGAAAGAAGGGAAAGATAAACAAGGGAATGACATACCTAGAAGACTTAAGCAAGTGGATGACAGAACGTGGTCTGGGAAAGGAAGAAGAGAAGGGATAGAAGGAGGTGGAGAGCCATGATCGCCTACATCCTGAAAGGACATGGCACCTAAAGAGAAAGAAAGATTTCTTCATCTAATTTAAAATGAACGGAATAAATATAAATAGATACGTATACAAATTTTTTCGTATCATTGTCGCTCTTGATTCCAAACCCGGCTTAACAGCGTTAGAATTTATGTGGCAGACGACAGCGTTTTCATAATGTCCGTTTTCGGTTCATAAAACAAAGGTTTCTTTAACTGAATTTATGTCATTTGTTTCAGTGATGGATGATGAAAAATATGACGTTTGATTGTAGAAATATTGGACTCTGCGTAAAATCAGCGGTTTTCGCTTAACTCTGTTTTGAAATGATTTTTCTTACTTTGCAATATTGATATTTTGTTGGAACTCAGACAGCATGATTACTAACTAAGGGTTCGACTGGGTCGCTATTTTGTAATATTTCTTTAGATAAACGGCAGTGTATGCCGAGTGCTTTAAAAATAAATTATTTTGAATTCTTCAGACACGCTTTTGTTTATTTTGTTTACACCGTTATTTACGTGGTATTATTATTTAATATATTTCTGTCTGTAAATATATTAAAATTTTTAATAATTCTTTCACGTTAGATTCTTTTTTCTTTTCCTGTTCTTTTCCATTTCTTTTCCTTTTCGCCTTTCTTTTCTTTACTTTTTCTTTTCGCCTTTCTTTTCTTTTCCTTTTCTTTACTTTTCGTTTACTTTTCTTTTTTCGTTTCTTTTTCTCCATTCATTTTTTTTTACCTTTTCGCCTTTCCTTTTTCTTTTACTTTTTTGTTCTTTTCCCTTTTCTTTTTCTTTTCCTTTTCTGTTCTATTCCTTTTTCTTTTGTTTTCCTTTACTTTTTTCCTTTCTTTTTTTTACCCTTTCTCCCTTCTTTTTTCTTTTCATTTTCTCTTCTTTTCTTTTACTTTTATTTTCTTTTTCTCCTTTCTTTTTTCTTTTCCTTTTCTCTTTTTTCCTTTTTCTTTTCTTTTCTTTTGGTCCTTTCTTTTTTCTTTTCCTTTTCCTTTCCTTTTTCTTTTCTTTTCTTTTTCTCCTTTCTTTTTTCTTTTCCTTTCTTTTTCTTTTGCTTTTCTTTTTCTTTTCCTTTTCTTCTTTCTCTTCCTTTTTCTTTTCTTTTCTTTTTGTCCATTCTTTTTCTTTTTCTTTTCCTTTGCTTTTCCTTTACTTTTTCTTTTCCTTTTCTCTTTTTCTTTTTTCTTTTCTTTTCTTTTTGTCCTTTCTGTTTTCTTTTTCTTTTCCTTTACTTTTTCTTTTCTTTTTTCTTTTCCTTTTCTTTTGCTTTTTCTCCTTTCTCTTCCTTTCTTTACCTTTTTTCTTGTCTTTTCTTTTCTTTTCTTTTCCGTATTTCTTTGTTGCTTCCCGTATCTTTTCCTTCCACCCTTTGTTGGATTATCACCCCTGATTAATAAAATCTCACTGCGGTGAGATTTGGAATTATCTCCCCTTATGATTTACAGGCGGCGCAAGATTTGATACCCTCGATCTCTTTCTCGGTGACTTTTCATAGCTATAAGACTTATTCTTTTCGCTCCTGCAAAATGTGAGTAATCAGCTACAGGCACTGAATATTGCATTGAACTTTTCACATTTCCTTTCATTTCTCAACTTTTCTTCTGTAAAAAGTTCCGTCTCTATATTCGTCAATGTTTTTTAATTGTTTCAAATTCTATACCTTATTATTCTTTTGGACTTATACGAATTCACTAAAATTGTTAGCGGGTCAAATGTACCAGAAGCTTATAACTTCTTATCAAAAATCTTTATACCGGCTACATTTTTTATTTCCTAAGTTCGTTTTTTTTTTTTTAATTTTTATTCACGCCTATTTCTTGTTGATTATTTTGTGTCTTTATTCTTGATTACATTTTCATGACTACGGACAACTTATGAATGTACTACATCGATTGTTCTCACCTCGATTCTCCGAACTTCGGTTATCCGGACTTCATCTTAGAGAAGCGTTCTGAGAATTGAGAAAACGATTCTTAATGTTTGATAAATATTGACAAATCTATACTTTGCTTGCGCTTTCAACCAGAAGTTATCCTTACAAATACCTCAAGGTTAATCCGGCTTCCGCTGTTAGCGGCACAAAACACTGAGGCCAGCAAGAAAGAACGATGTATTTTACTCGATGTATTAAACTCGACAAAAGCTTTTGTAGATCTTATTTAATGATATAAATATGAAAATTCTTTTCAGAAAATTACATTATAATTCTTTATTTCTTGATAATTTAAGAATTCAATAATTTTATCGAATTCACCCCAAGCGAAGCAGTAAAGCCACTAAGACACAAGGGGTTACAGGTTATGAAAGAATTAGAAAACAGGACCGAGAATATTAGAAGAGTGGTCAAGAAGACAGTAGATATTGAATTTAAATTTTTGAAGATCAAAGTTCGCTGGAAATCATGGAGCCGGAAGAGAGTTCCATAAGAGAGAAAAAAACAAATTCTTAGCATTGAAATAACGGTTACATCTAGTCAATTCAACTATAAATTGAATAAACATTGTTACGACCCTGGTAACGCTTTTAAATTCATAATGTCTAGATACGATTGAAGAAAATTAATCCGAAAAATTACTATGAAAGTATTTGTAGAAATGGCACAAGAAAGCAACTTTACGATGGTAGGAAAGTGACTGAAGCCGAGACGCCAGGTGAAGACCAATAATATTGCTGATTCTTTGGATTTTATCAAGAATCTTTATATATGTGGCAGGGGCAATGGTAGACATAGATATGTATGATAGGTTTTAGAGAAAAAATGTTGAGAAGAACGCAGTGAATCAACCTTTATTGCAACGGACTTAAGATTGTAGAGGGAATGGCGGTTGCCACTTGTTGAGGGTTCATGGCGTGGCTGTTATGTTGTTGATAGAAGTCAGACGTAGAATAAAAGTAAGGTTCAGATACTCCTGCCCGCCGAGCCCAACTACATAAAAAGGTTGGACTTTGATTAAGTCCAAAGAAGAAGGTAAAGAAAGCAAACAAAACACAAGACCGATAATATATGTATATACAAATATATATTAATAACAAGTTACAATACATGGAAACAGTATAAAGGACGAAGTGTGTGTGGATATTCTGTATGTGCGTGTGTGTGTGAATATTGTGCTTAGCGTGTTTCCACGCTATCCCTTGTTAGCACCTACATTTCGAGGTTGATAGCTGAAATCCTGAAGGAAAAAGAGATAGAGGTGAAGAGTCAGCGGTTATTTATAGCCAGGGAAGAGAGACCCCTGGTGAAAGGGTTAACGGAGTGAAGGAGGAGTTAACTCCGACAAGATTATTTGTAATTTTGAATTAAGAGAAAATATCTTCAGCCCGCTGCCAGAAAGTGTCCAGATATTCGCAGAAGGATTCTATTTTTCTTCACATTTTTAATTTTTAAATTTTTTTAATGTCTGTTTTCTCTCTAATTTTAATTTTCTTTTTTTTTTTCAATATTTTTTCGTTCAACCTTTCCTTAATTCATTTTCTTTCCTTTCTTTCTTTCACTTTCGTTTCTTTCTTTCTTTCTTTCTTTCTTTCTTTCATTTTCTTTTCTTTATTTCTTTCTTTCTTTATTAATTTCATTTTTCTTCCTTTCTTTCTTTTTATCCTTTATCTCTTTCTTTCTGTTATTTTCTTGTCTTTCTTTCGTTCTTTCTTTTTCATTTTTCCTTTCTTTCTGTTTTGTTTATTTCTTTTTTCATTTATCCTTTTTTCTTTCTTTCATTTTCCTTTCTTTCATTTTCCCTCCCTTCATTCTTTCATTCCTTCCTTCTTTCTTTCTTTCTTTCTTTCTTTCTTTTCCTTTGTTTCTTTATTTTATTTTTCTTTTTATTCTTTGTTTTATTTTTCCTTTGTTTATTTCTTTGATTTCTTCCTTCGTTCCTGTCTTCATTTAATTTTTCCGTATTCCATTCATTTTTCTTCCATTTTCAGTTTTATTGTTTCTGTCTGTCTCATTCTTTCTTTCTTTCTTTCTTTCTTTCTTTCTTCAATATTTCCTTTTTTGTTATCTACTACATTTATTTTTATTTCCTTCTAATTCATATTCGTTGATGCTTAAGTAGAGACTACGGCACAGAAATTAGTAGCGTCAGTGAGAAATAAGAAAGACTAATTGTATAAAGTCAACCTGCGAAGAGCTCACGTCGCAAACTACGAATCGGAGACACCAAAAGCAAGTACAAAAATTCTAATAACCAGAACATGCCTATCATACATATCTATAAGTCCTCCATTCGTCCACGCTTCGAATATTTCTGCCAGATATGCCGTGGTGCTCCTGCCATATATTTAAAAAAATTCTTGATAAAATCCAAAAAAGAATCAACAATATTATTAGTCTTGACCTGGCGTCTCGGATTCAGTCACTTTCCCAGCGCCGTAAAATTGCTTCCCTCTGCCATTTCTGTAATGATTTCTATAGTAATTTTTCGGATTAATTTTCCTCGATGGTCTCTAGACTTTATGAATGCGACATCGAAATCCAAAGGCGCTTTGGGTCAGGAAAATATGCCTTCCAAAAACTAAGCAAAGTATCAAGCAACAAGAGAATGAAAAATAGAGTGTTATGTAATACCGGTCGAGGGGGTCAGTGAATGGATAATTTCATCAGAATTGAAGAAGAAAGCTGAGGCGATAGAAATGGTGTTATTGTCTAGAATACCATGTGATGAAGATGCGAGCAACGATACAATTTTAGGGGAATTGGAAATAAAAAGGGCAGCTGCACTTAAAATCAGCAAGAGACATTTGAAATTACACAGGCACATAATGAGGAAAGAGAGCTTGGAGAATTTGAAACGCACATGATATAGTGAAGTCAAGCGGGACAGAAGAGAGCAGAGAGTAAACGAATTAATGAGCTTCGTTAGCAGAACCATAATTATGGGAAACAGTAAAAAGACAAATTTTACTAAGTGGAGAGCTATGAATGATCGCACACTTCTTGTTGAGACTCGGAAAGAAGAAGAAGAAGAAGAAGAAGAAGAGTTAAGAATGACAGGAAATTGTGGAGAGTCATGTCTCACTTTCACTGCCGGTTAATTTTTGACCAGGGACTTTATTTTTCCTTTTTCTTCAAAATATTTCTTTTTCTCTTTTTGTTGTGGTTGTTGTTGTTGTTGTCTTTGCTGTTGTTGTTCTTCTTCTTCTTCTTCTTCTTCTTCTTCTTCTTCTTCTTCTTTTTTTCTTCTTTTCTTTCTTCTTCTTCTTCTGCCTTCCTCTTCTTGTTTTTGTTGTTTTCCTTTCTTTTCGTCTTGTAGTCGTTGTTGTTGTTGTTCTCCTTCTTCTTCTTCTTCTTCTTCTTCTTCTTCTTCTTCTTCTTCCTTCCTTTTTCTTTCTTGTTTTTTTCCTTGGTTTTCGTTTTTTCTTCTTCTTTTCTTTTCGTCTTCTTCTTCTAGTCCTTTTTTGTTGTTGTTGTTTCTTCATTTCTTCTTCTGCCTTCTCTTCTTCCTTTCTTCTTCTTCTTCTTCTTCTTCTTCTTCTTCTTCTTCTTCTTCTTCTACCGGCACCTTTTTTATTCTTCTTTTCTTTCTTCCTTCGTCTTGTTTTCCTTAGTTTTCGTCTACTTTTTTTCTTCTTCTTCTTCTTCTTCTTCTTCTTATTATTATTATTATTATTACTATTGATGTGTGGGTGAGAGACCAGTAGACCCCAAATTGATGTTAGTATGCAAATATACAAAGCTCCAGTCTGTTAATGGTATCCCAGGCCCACGCACCACATATATAAAGTTGTCGGTGGAGCTCAGTTAAAGATAACTTCGAGTTGACTAACGTAGTCCACACAGTTGGTCTCCCTTTGAGGGTGTGACCAAATTTGTAGACATAACTCCTAAGACGCCCTAGCTGCCTCATTGCTCAAACGTAAAAAGAAAACCTCTTGTCACTTGGCAAGGACGATCCCCCACAACTCACGCTCATGAACAGAGATCCGTCAGTTCTAAGAAGACATGCCCAACTTTACTCTAGATCATCTTAATTCAGCAAGTCATGTCTTGGTCATTATTTTTTATTTCTTTTTTTTTTTCTTTGGATTTCTGTTCTATACACATTTACTTCCGGGTCCGAAACAGAATCCTAAGATCAAAAATGGCTTCAACATATTTTCCGCTGATCTTTTTTTTCGTTTGTTTTTGTAAAAGAAATCTGGTATCACTTATTTTACATATATAAAGCTCCTCGTAATGTGTGAGCTGTACTTGTAAGTACGTTATTTTTACTACTTTAAGACATAGGCTACCAGTAATCCAATGTATTAGGTTGGTGCAAAAATAATGACGTAATAATGTCGTTTTTTGACGTTAAAATTACGTCAAAAATGTCATTATTACGTCATTATTTTTGCACCAACCTAATATCTATCGGAACCATTTCCAGTCAATCCGAAGTCACCAACTACAACTGGAATTACTAATGTCCTGATATACCACATCTTTGAGATTACTGCTTCAAGATCATTTTAAAGATTTTTTAAAGATCTTTCAAGATACATTACAACCTGCAGGCACTTCCATGTCAATAAAAAAGCACATTCAGTTTTTGTGGTCTTTGCTCACGATGCCTGGGCGATTAGTTTTGATTGCTCTGTGTGTATTGTAAAATTCCATCAAATTGTTACAGGCCCTATCTCTGGAACCGGGTCTGGGTCAGACCAGTTTCTTGCTGTTTCCTTCCGTAAAAGTTGCATATTTTCCAATACAGATATTAGCCCACTCAGTCATGCCGAGTTTTATATTTATTGGTTGCTAACATTATGCAACTTGATACAAGATTATTATTATTATTATTATTATTATTATTATTATTATTATTAGGTTGGTGCAAAAATAATGACGTAATAATGTCGTTTTTTGACGTTAAACAATACGTCAAAAAACGACATTATTACGTCATTATGTTTGCACCAACCTAATATTATTATTATTTGTGTATGTTATATCTCCTACTTTGTATCCTGTAGAGCCGGGTTCAAACTATGGACGTTAGGCTCTCTAGCAGAGTTGTTACTTAATTGATAACACTTTTCTTAGAATATGGTATATTCCTAGTAGGGCGATCTTCTGAGCAACTTGTATGCTGATGTTACCTGGGACATTGTTAGTACAATTGTTCATTCCTTTTCTCACGAGGCCCGGTGCTCCGATTACTATTGGTACAGACTCAGACGTTATTCCCTACATCCTGTTAATCTCGATCTCCTGGTCTTTGTATTTGGACAATTTCTCGATAATTTTCATGGAGGTGTTTCTCTCAGATGGTACTGCTATGTCAATAAGCATACACTTTCTGAATTGTATTTTCTGTTAATATCATATCATTGGCTTTTATTTCCCTGTCAGTTTGAATTGGCATGTCCCAGTGGATGTTTACATCGTTATTTTGGATAACTGTGTCTGGTTGGTGCTCATACCATTTCGCAGTGGTTTCGATTTTTTGTTTCTTGCATATCTTCCAGTGCACAAAATTCACTACCTTGTTGTTGTTGTTGTTATTATTATTATTATTATTATTTTCATTTCAGTTTTCTATCTTCCCTGTTTAGTTTCAACATTTTATTTCCCTTTTCTAGGCCTGAGTTATGTTACTGTTTCTTTATTTGCTATACTGTTTTTTCTCTTGCTCCTCCTCTTCTTTTTCTTTATATCTGTTATCTTCTTTTTCTTACATGCTAGGTTTTGCTTTGATTTTTCTTCGCCGTTTTTCTTCAACGTTACTTCCTTGGTTCCTTTAACTCATTCTTTTTCTGTTAATTCTTCTTTCCTTCACTTACTCAATTCATTCTTACCTTTTCTTTCTTTTTTTCTTTTTGCTACCAAATTCCCTTTCTTTCAATATTTCAAATTTTTTCCCTCTTTTTCTTCCCTCCTTTCTCTTGTTTTTCTTTTGTTACTTGAATGTCTTTTGTTTTTGTTTTTTTTAAACTTTTTTGTTGGATATCCTTCTTTCTTTTTTTTTTCTTTCTTTCTTTCTTTGATTAACTTCTTTGATCATGTTTTCTTTCTCTTTTTTATTTCTTTCATTTCGAATTATTTTATTTATTTTGATAGCTTTCAAATTCTTTCTTTATTAACTTTATCCTTGTTTTTTCCATTTTTCATTGTTGTTTTTTTCATTTACTTTATTAATTCTTTCTTTCATTCTTTTTTCGTTTCTTTTTCTTAAATTTTCCTTCATAGTTTCTGTTATTCTTCTGCGCTTGTATTTTCGAAGATTTTTTCTCTTCTTCACGCTTTCAATTTCTTGTTTCCTTTCTTATAGCTTCTTTCTTTTTTTCTTTTCTTTCTTTTCTTTCTTTTCTTTCATTCTTTCTTTCTTTGTGTATATAAACATTCTATTCATCTCTTTATTCCGTCTATTTCACTTCTTCCTTTTTTATTTCTATCGCTCTTCTCTTGCTATTTCGATGTGTGTTTTCCTTCTTTCTTTCTTTCTTTCTTTCTTTCTTTCTTTCTTTCTTTTGAATCCTTTCCTTCTTTCCTTCCTTCTATTTGTCTTTGCTTTGTCTCTTTCTCTTTTCTATTGCTTTTCTATTCTTGCAGATTCAGTTTCTTTTTTTTCTTTCTTTCTTTCTTTCTTTCTTTCTTTCTTTCTTTATCTTGATCTCTTCCCTCCCTTCCTTCTATTTGTCTTTCATTTTTCTATTACTTTTCCATTCTTGAAGTTTCAATATTTTTATCTCTTTCTTTCTTTCTTTCTTTCTTTCTTTCTTTCTTTTCCTCTCAGTTGACTCTTCATTTCTCCGCGTATTCTTTCTTTCTTTCGGTCTTTCTTTCTTTTCCTCTCAGTTTACACTTCTTTTCTCTTCGTATTCTTTCTTTCTTTCTTTCTTTCTTTCTTTCTTTCTTTTGAATCCTTCCCTCTTTCCCCTCCTTCTATTTATCTTTCATTTTTCTCTTTCTTTTTTCTATTGCTTTTCTTTTCTTGCAGTTTCAATATTTTTATCTTTTTCTTTCTCTCTTTATTTTCTTTTCTTCATTTCTCATTATTCTTTCTTTCTTTGTTTCTTTGTTTGTTTCTTTCTTTCTTTCGATGCCTTTCCTCCCTTCTATTTGCTTTTATTTTTCTCTTTCTCTTTTCTATTGCCATTCTTTTTTCTTGCAGTTTCAATATTTGTAGCTCTTCTTTCTTCCTGTCTCTCTTTCTTTTCTTTCTTTATTTATTTTTCTTTCTTTCTTTCTTTTTTTCCTTCTTTTGAAGATAAATCTTCTATTTCGCCGTTTTCCTTTCTTCCTCTTTTTTTTTTTAAGCAAGACAAGAGTACCACTAGCACGCAAGGGGTTACAGAGAGTGAGAGTAAGAGTAAAGACGGATGTTTGAGAAAAAGATAAAGAGAAAGACATGGATGAAGGTCAAGTTTTCAGAAGAGGTTGATTGGCATCACATTTGAATATTTAAAGATTATAGCTATCACGGAATCAAATGAATGGAGTTCCACTGACGGGAGGCTGGAAACAAGAAGCTGTTGGAGGAGAAGAGATGGCTATACTCACCTTCTTATACCATATCCTCTTCTTTGGAATATAGAGTTGGTAATAACTCTTCCAGCGAAGATGTCTTTTGCAAGCATAGTGAAGTTTACAACACTGCCTTAAAAATAGTGGTTATAAGTACCCTGACATCAAATAAAACATAACAACATCGATCGTTGGAATAAGTATAGAAAGTAAAATTATTTGGTACACACCCACATTTAACCAAATGGTTAGGACTAAGGGCAGAATTTCCCCCGTTTAATTAATAAACACTTCCACCAGAAATAATCTACTTGTTAAAAGAGTAAAAAGATGGGACTGAGGTACCAACCTAGTAGCACGCTTAAATTCATGCAATTTGGGAACCAGTGAAAGTAGCTTGTCGGAGCAGTTGCCATGAAAGTATTTGTAGAAAAGACAGAGGGAAGACACAGCATGTCTGTGGGATATCGACTGCAGACGGGATGCCAGATCAGGACCAACAACATTGCATATCCGTCTCTGGATTTTGACTAGGATCTCGAGATGAACAGTGGGAGCACAAAACCATATATGGTAGCATTATTCCTTCTTTCTCTCGTCCTATTATTGTTTCGAAATTTTATATCCCTTCCGTTATTTTTCACTCTCTTTCTTTCATAATCTCCCCCCCCTTTAAAGTCTTTCCCATTCTTCCTTCTTTTCTTTTTCGGTTTTCGTCAACACTTAATTATCCCACCCTCTGCCTTTGTTTTCCTTACTTTGTCTTTTTTTTCTCTCTCTCTCTCTCTCTCTCTCTTATTCTCCATATTTTGTTCATCTACGTGTTACATTTTCTTTCTTTTACTTTGACACTTTATTGTCCTTATCGCTTCAGAGTAACGTTCTCCTTCAATTGCCTAATGGCCTCATCAATTTCCCTAATCTTATCGTTATCAATCCTCGGCTAAAATCGATCATTTTATCAATCAATCATTCCGTAAAACAATCGATTCCCTGTTACTTTCAATTGATTGCTGTCTATTTCGGAATCTCATTTCAACTTCCACTTCTACTTTTCTTACTTTTTGTCTATACGGTTCTTTCTTTCTTTCTTTTTTGTTTCTTTCTTTCTTTTTTGTTTCTTTCTTTCTTTTTTTGTTTAATTGCTTGCATTTAAATTTTTCTTCTTTTTTTTGACATGTTTTTTTCATACATTCATTCATTCTATCTTTCTTATTTTTACATTTTTTTCTTTTTATTGTTTATTGGTTTAATTTTTCGTTTGTGTTTCACTCACGTGTTAAGTCTTTCTTTTTTGTTGGCTTTATTATTTGCTTTTTCATTTTTTTTCTCTGTCTTTTTCTTTCTTTTTTACGTTTCTTATGTTTTATCCTTTCTTTTTTAATTCTTTATTTTTCTATATTTTCTTTCTTTCTTTATTCCTTGTTTGCTTTTCAATTTTCTTCAATTTGTTTTTTGCGTTTTTTCACTTTTCTTATTTTTTTATTCTTTCTTTTTTAATCTTTAGCTTTCTGTATTTTCTCTTTCTTTCTTTCATTCTTTCTTTTTCTTTCTTTTTTAATTTTTTACTTTTCTATATTGTTTCTTTCTTTCTCTTGTTCTTTCTTTCTCTCTCCTTATTTTCTTACATTTTTCTTTCTATTTTAATATTTAGTAATCTATATTTTCTATTAGTTTCTTTCCTTCTTTCTTTCACTCGTTCTTAAATCTTTTCTTTCTTTTTCAATTTTTATTTTTTTATATTTTCTCTTTCATGTTTTCGATCTCTCTTTCTCTCTTTCTCTTTCTTTTTTTTAATTTTTAGTTTTCTATATTTTCTCTTCCTTTCTTTCCGTTTTTCTTTCTCCCTTTCTTAGACCCTTTCTTTCTTTTTTAATCTTTAGTATTTCATATTTTCTCTTTCTTTCTTTCTTTCTTTCTATCTTTCTTTCTTTCTTACTAACAATCGAGAAAATAGTCTACTGGAAAAAAACTGTTAATCGTGAAATTCACCTCAGTTCCATTCAACTTCAGTATTTGCCCGAATCTACACGACAAGGCGATTATGTGGCACAAGGCTGGTTTTTAACGTGAGGCACTCCGAGCGCGTAGAGTCTTATCTTGGTTTCTCTCTATCCGGTATCAGAGAGGCCAGCAAGAAGTTCTTTTCAACTTCGGTATTTACCAAAAGCCTCCCCACAAGGCGGGGTGTGGCACAAAACCAGTTTTTTAACATGGGGCATTCCGAATCCGTAGGCTCGAACAAAAATTCTCCGTAGACTCTGTATACACGGGGTCTGGTTTGTCTAACTCCCCAGACGAAACTCTACCCATCGGCATAGTATCGTCTGGGTTCCTCTCCGCCTGGGTGCAGTGGGGTCTATAAGAAGTTCTCTTCCACTTCCACCCTCTCAGTAAGAGAGCGTGCTATTTATCTTTTTAGATCAGTCCATCTTCTGGGGGTTCTCTGGTACTCCACAACGTCCCCCTTTTTTGAATTTACTACTTTCTCTGAAAGACGTATTATTGGTTTATTTGTATAATTTTTGACAGTTTCCTTTTTCCTTTACTCAAAAGCCTCTCACCCGGAAGTACTAAAGGCATTGGTACCTAGAATAGGTCATAAATATCCTTCATCGGAGCCATCCCCTTGGTTAGGCTAGACAAGCTTTGTGTATCTATTTAATGTGAGTAAGTGTTGTTCCTGTCCTGCTCCCGGCTGCATCTTTGCTTATGATCCAAGTTGAGATTCCCAACCTCCCCAATTTGTTTTGGCGCCCTTCTTATATCGACTGGGTCGGCTTTTATATTTACCATATCCGTATATAATTTCCCCTTTCCCACTCCTTTAGCAAGAGAGCTTCTTGATTTTGTCGATTTTTGAATACAGCGGCATCTCTTTTTTTAAGATGTGCTACTAACATCAGTTAGGTTTGGTTTGCTTTGTTTTGCCATTTAGTTTGTTATTGGGTTCATCCCCCTCACCTCCCATTTTCAATCACTCACAAATTTTTATATATACATTTTATTATCATGAAATATTTACTATCATGGGGGGGGCGTTTTTGTAGGTCCCCCTGAGAGGATACGGTATTATGATGTATGGAGGATTGATTGGTGACAACGAGTTTTTGTGGTGAATGCGCAAATTGTTGGGTTAATGATTCGTGAATCGGATTAGCTAGGTATAAGATAGTGAAGACCAGCCTCAACCCGTTCCCATTTCTGCCTTGTGCCATAACTGTGTACGTTCGCATAATAAATATAAATATCCACCATCAGTTCTTTCTTTCGGTTATACATATCATCCAAGTACCTTTTCCTTATCAGCTTTTGATGTACCTTAACCAGTTTTTTCCGGTCTTTAACAATAGGCATCAATCTTCTGATGCGTTTATCTATGACACCAGCATTCCAGAACTATTTACCGTACCTTGATTCTTTAAAAAAAAAAAAATCCCCGGGGCTATAAAATTTTCTAATCGTGATTTTCTTCTCTTTTATTTTCCTTTGGATTGTCGAATACCGTTTATACAGGGTGTCCATAAAGTTCATGTTCACTTTTAAAAATGTATAACTTTATTTGTCTTTGCGATAGAAATAATCTGTAAAAAATGTTATAAAGTTTAATGTACCTAGTTTTAAGTATAGATAAAATAACTAATGCGCTTTCAGGCATTACTGTAAATCAGTTGGCAAATATTTTCCGTGAACTACAAAATCGTATTACCCTTTGTATTGCTAATGATGGAGGACATGTGGAAAATAAAAATTCTTCGTAGACTCTGTATACAAAGGGTCGGCTTTGTCTATCTCACCTGATGAGACTCTAGTATCGTCTGGGTTCCTATAAAATTTCAATAAAACCGTAAAAAATATAGATTTACTTCTTACAAATTATTTCTATCGGAAATACAAATAAAGTTATAAGTTTTTTATAGTGCACATGAACTTTATGGACACCGTGTATTTTCTTCGCGGCCATTAATTCTGCCGGTGGCACACGCTTAATTTGTACTTTGGTTCGGTGTGAGCTGATATATACTCTTAGAATTCTATTATCTCGTCAACGGTTTTTCAATGCTCACTTGAAAGTATCCACAAATCTTTCTACTTAGCCATTAGATCGTGGGTGATATGTTGCAGTAGTCAGATGTAAAATTGAAAAAAAAAATATTAGGAAAATCTTTGAACTCTTTTGCCGTGAATTGCGTGCCATTGTCCGGAGACAATCGTATCTGGTACACCGAATCTTGCAAAGACATCACGCAAAAATTTTATCGTCCCACTAAACGTAGGATTTTTCAAATTTTCTCACCTCTGGACATTTTGAAAAACAATGTCAGCAACAATCAAATAGTATTGCCCCCTTATTGGACATGCAAAATCAATATACAGCCTTTGCCAAAGCCTGTCCGTCTTTGGCCAAGGTTTCAATTTCTTCGATGGTGCCTTTTGCTGCCATCGCACAAGCACTGCATGTCTTTACATTTTTGTATATATCTTTATCCATATTCTGCCAAAAAAACAGTTTCTCATTAAAGTTTTCATCATCGATATACCAGGATGTCCGGTAGGAAAATCTTTAAATATTCTTTTTTTTTTTTTGTTAGCACTTCCGGTATTACCACACGTTCTCTGTACATTATTATTCCGTCATAGATAGATAAAAAAAAATCACCATAATATATTTTTGTAATGCTGGCTACTAATTTGATTCTTTTTCTCTTTGATATATTTACCTATTTTTTCTTTGTTCCGGATTCCTCTAACGTCACAGGTAATTCCCATACAGTGTTCCATAACAAGTTTTTTATTTCCATTTCTATTGTTAACGCTGATATCACCGTTTCCTCTAGTTTAGGGATTAGCCTAGATAATCCATCTACACGACATAACAAAAGTAACACCATCTTTAAATTATAATTTAATTGTTCCTCATCAGTATCAATATCAGAAAGCAACGAATGGCATACCCGGCGGGCCTAAGAAAGTGGATGACAGAACGTGGTTTAGTGGAGGTGGCAGAGGGCTGAAACCTATTGAGAGCTAAAAGGGATGGGAGATGTGGAGAAACATGATTGTTTACGTCCTGAAGGGACATGGCACATAAAAAGAATTAAAGTCTATCTTTGGCATAAGGTTAAATTTTACTGGTGGTGTCTTTACTGCCATTGCACAACCTCTGCATGTTTTTATATTTTTCTCTATATCTTTGTTCAGATGAGACGAACAAAACAGCTTCTCATTAAAGCTTTCATCATCGATATATCAGGGTATCATGTAGAAAATTCTTTAAGTATTCTTTTTTTTTTAGCACTTCCGGTATTACCACACGTTCTCTGTACATTAATATTCCGTCACAGATAGAAAAAAGTTCGCCATCATATATTTTTGTAATGCTGGCTACTAATTTGCTTCTTTTTCTGTGATATATTTGTCAATGTTTTCTTTGTTTGTGATTTCCTCTAACGTCACAGGTAATTCCCATACAGAGTTGCATAACAAGTTTTTTATTTCCATTTCTATTCTTAACGTTGCTATCACAGTTTCCTCTAATAGATCACATAGTTTAAGGATTAGCCTGGATAATCCATCTGCATGACCCAAACTGTTTAACGGAAGTAACTCCATCTTGAAATTTTAATTTAATAATATTGTTCCTCATCAGTATCAATATCAGAATCAGTATCAGAAAGCAACGCGTGACATACCTGGCGAACCTAATCAAGTAGATGACAGAACGTGGTTTTGGGGAGTTGGCAGAGTCCCGAAACCTATTGAGAGCTACAAGGGATGGGAGACGTGGAGAACCATGATTGTCTACGTCCTGAAGAGCCATAGCACATAAAAAGAAAGTAAATCTTTCTTTGGTCTAGCGTTAAATTTCACCGATGGTGTCTTTACTGCCATTGCACAACCTCTGCATGTTTCTATATTTTTCTTTATATCTTTGTTCATATTAGACAAAAAAAAAAGACCAAAGACAACATAGATTCTCATTAAAGCTTTCACCCTCAACCAGGGTAGGAAAATCTTTAAGTATTTTTAGCGCTTTCGGTATTACTACATATTTACAGTACATTTGTATTCCATCACAAATAGAAAAAAAAATGGCTACTAATTTGCTTCTTTTCTCTATGATATACTTTTTTTTTATACTTGTCTATTTTTTTGATGTTGATTTCATCGAGCATCACACTTAATTCATTTATGGTGTCGCATATCACGCGTTTTATTTCCATTTCTATTCTTAAAGCTGCTGTCGCATTTCCTCTAATGTGTCACATAGTTTGGGGATTAGCCTGGATAATCCACCGCAGCGCCCAAGCTCTTAGACGGTAGGAACTCCATCTTAAAATTATAATTTAATAGTACTCTGAAGTCGATTTGCCGTGTAGGATTCCCTTCATTTTTTACTTTTTTTTGGAACCAAAATAGACAATAAATGTCAATGCTCCATTTGAAGCGTAAAACTCCTTCCACGTATGAATCTATGGAAACATTTTAGTGCAAAAATTATTCCTTAAACTTCTCTTTCTATTTGACTATATCCTTCTTTTAACTGGTAATAGGGTCCTTGACGCATGTGCAATCGCTTTTCCTTCGCCGTTGCTTTCTTTATGTAATATTAAAGCTCCTAAGTCCAAATCACTAGCATCACTTGCAACGATAATATCCCTATTTGGATGATCGTAATGCGCCGGACTTAATATTGTTTGATTTTCTTCAAAAGCACTTTGACATACCGTACGCCAGTACCAAATGGAATCCTTTTTAAACAATTTCTTTAGAGGAGCTATGTGTTGAATTGTGCAAATTTTTGGTAAAATATTGCCGTAGTAATTTGCTCGACCCAAGAATGCTTGTCTACTGACACCTTTCTTGGGGGTGGGGCATGTTCGTTATCGCACTCGATCATGATGGATGTAGTTTTCTGCCTTTTGTATCTATAATTTGTCA